TCATTATTCGCCTTTCACCTTCTAGCTATGCTTTCTATAACAATAACGTCTATGGGTCACTTTTCGACTTCATCTAAAAAAACCATTGTCAACATCAAATTTGAGGGTTGAAACTTGAAACGCTGGAACATTAGTGGGATGAATAACAGATAGTGGGCTAATCCTGAGTGGCCTTTGGGGTAAGGCCTGGTGGGCTTTGAATTTCTCAACAAGGTGGTCATTACAAGAAGGAAATATTACATTAAATTATGCGATTATACGATTTAAGATAACTTAATTATTAAAATTTTTTATCATTTGAATTAATTACAAAAATTTCATTTTCCTTCTCTCTTAACATTTGATGCATCACTCTATCTTTATCATATACATTACGAATTTATTTGCATGCAATATATTTGATATAAATGATATTATTGATATATAACTTTAATTATTTCAAGCCTAAATAACTATAATTTGATTTATAGTTATGCATTGAATGTATAACTCATGTATCGTTTACTATATATTGAGCAAAAAGACAATGTATACGTAAATTCTAAAATATCCAAAATTATTATAATTTGAAAATTTTTTCGAATAAAACGTAATTAATGCCCAGGTTGTTCAATTTCTTTTGCTTTACATAAATAAATATCTATAGTAACTACTTTGGGCCTACCTTATCTTTCTTTTTCTTTGCCCGCAACAAGACATCTATTTTTTTTTACATCTTTGGTTATTCTAGAAAGAACAAAAAGATCGAAGATATTAAATATTTTATTTTTAGTAAAAGATATAATTAATAAAATATCCAATCATCAAATGCAAGAAATGATTTAGGAAAATTACATTTTGTTTAGTATATATTGGAGTAACTTTTTATATTTACGCCAAAATAACAAATTAATGTTATAAAAACACTAGTGGAAGTCAGTATTTTCTTTTGACATTGCCATAAAAAACCTCTCCATTATAATAAGGTAACGATAAGGTCTGGGTATAATTTATTCTCTTCATATAATTCCGTTGTCGTTGTTGTAGTATATATGTTTAGTGGAACTGGAAAAGAGGAGAATTTGGAGCTCATTTATTCAGGCTGAAACTGGAAGATGCAAGATAGGGATGTAGCAAGAGTCCTTTAATGGGGAAATTCTGCAATTTCACCCCTTTTATTGTACCACACCCTTCAATCCAATGCCATTCCCATTTTGTACCATTTTCTGCACATACCAACATTCCTGATCCAAGATCTCTGTACAAGCACATTGCCCCACCAATGCACACACATCTTGTGTTAATACTACCCCATCTTCCTTTACCTCCAAACAATCTTGCCCATAATTCTTGTGGCACCTTCTCAATCATTCTCCAATTATTTGATTCTTCAAGCTGCCATATACATGCCCCTGCATCACCACTTCCACCAACAAGACATAATTTCCCATTTCTTTCTACCAGTGCTGCAAATTGAAGCCTGTCAGCCATCGGCACGCCTAATTCTCTCCAATTTTTGTTCCTAATTTCGAATCCCATTACAGTATAGGCCCTGGCTGAGGTGATCCAATATAGGACGCCGTTGCAGTAAACACTCTCGTTTGGGGTCCAAACTGTTAGCCTTACTGCAAATTCCATCGGCATTGATCCAACTGTTTTCCAGTTTTCGTTAACAGAATCGTACACTTCTAAGCTGGGCTCGTATGAAGCACCTCCTCCGGTGCTGCTTGCCACTGACATTCCTCCGGCAACATAGACCTGGAAGTTTGCTGAATCCAGTGATATTACCCCAACAGCTGGATTAGTTCTTGTGACATTTAGCTTTGGGAGGTGCCTGAATTGGCGAGTGAAAGGGTTGCATATGGCTAATTGAAGAGCAGTAGTTGTGGTTTCTCTCAGTAGTATTAGGCCATTAACTGCAGCAATTGGGCGAATTGGGTTGGGAATGAAGTCAAGAGGCAATAGATGCCAAGAATCATTAATTGGGTTGTGAGCACAAATAAAACGCCCATGGTTGCGTGTGGGCAATGCTAGAAACCACGGCGGATATTGCCGCCATGGTAGCGTTGCCCATGAAGGTGAATTGTCAGCACATGTGTGCCAACTCTTGCAGGCAGATTTAGCCCTGGCTAATGAATCAGGAGAAAGATGAGAGAAAATATTGGCTAGGAGTTCAAAAGGAAGGTTGCTCCACATATCGTCAGACGTCCTAAATGCTCTTTCTACATGGAGATACGGAAGACTATATATGTGGCACAAACTGCAACTGATTGTGGCTCAACAATGATTGAAGGTGAAATAAATTATTCCTTCCCTTTCAATTTATTTATTTTGCTTTTCTTTTTTCATTTGTTCCAACTTCCCACACTCCAAGATTAAAAATATTTTGGAACATTTCATTATCTTTAATGTAAAATCATATCTATCAAAAAAATTCATAAATTTTAATATCAAATTAAAAATTAAATAAACAAATTAAAAATGAAAGGGAACAACAGTATGATTTGAGCATAGAGATGCGTGACCATCATGTGAATGTCAAAGTTCTGTTTTATTTTGGTACGGCGTTTTGTTGTTTTGTGGATATTTTAATGCTTAGACGTAGTTCTTGGAAGTGCCCATGAGCCATCAAAGTTTAAATAGAAAGATAAGAAAAAAGGTGTGCAATTTGTAGCCATTCTTTTAATTCTGGATAATGAAAGTAGCAGATGCTAAAGTATTTTCATCATAACGTATCCAAAAAGACATGAGCAGCTACCCTGGGCCCTTGCAGCAGTACGGGCAGCCATCAACTTGGCATTAGTTATATTTTTTAATTTGTTCTCAATTATATATATAGATATTTAAACAGATACATATTTAAAATTAAACAACATGTATATGTTAGTTAGGATCAAATATACGTTAATATATTATGCCCTAGTTGTATGACCAAACTTATTGATTGATGATGATTATTATCCACCTCATACGTTTGACATGATCATAGATGAGTGGGTTCCCGTCTTTGACTTATTAAATTAAAATGATAATGAGCTATTAATTAAGTATTGAGTATTTTGATATCTTTAAGTTTTAAGACTTATCCATTTGTAAGAAGATATGTAAACGTCTGTCCCATCTAATATACGTAATTTGCTAGAAAAAAATTTCCGTGCACGCCTAGTTCTTTTGAGAATTGGTTGTCATTAGAACCTTAAATTCCTTTTCTTGTCCTGTTATATAATACTTCTCTATCCACTTTTATCTGTCATACTAAGCTTTTTGAAAGTTAATTGAATTAATTTTTAAAATTAACTTAGATGACATTAATTTGATATTTTAAACAAAATATTTAGATATTTAAAAATTATATAAAAAGTATTATAAATTGCATTTTTTTACCTATCAATAGGATTAAAATAATACATATTAAAGTGTTAGTCAAAGTTCTTATAGTTTTCAAAATAAAACTCATAATAAATAAAGATGGACGGAGGAATATTATTATTGGTTTAGTATACCAAAAATCCAAATTAAACTTAAATATACTGCAATTCTATATAAGTTTCTGTTTTTACTGTATTTGGTATAAGATGTACTAATACTGTTTATAGGATTTCCTATGTAAACCCCTTTACTATGAATATATTGTGAAAGGAGGGCCAACAGGAGAAATAATTAGGGGTGTGCATCGATCAATTTGATTCAATTTTATATATTAATGATTTAATTTATCGATGCTTATAGGATTTCCTATGTAAACCCCTTTACTATGAATATATTGTGAAAGGAGGGCCAACATGAGGTATAATTAGGGTTGTGCATCAATCAATTGCTCGGTTCGATTTTATATATTATCGGTTTGATTTATTGATTTTCAGTTTTAAAATATGCTAATCCAATAACAACTCAGTAAGATATTCTTTATCAATTTTTGGTCATTATCAGTTTGATTTTTGGTTTACCCAATAAAAAAATATTCGTAAAATAGATATTGAGAAATTGCATCAATAAGAGAAAATATAGTACAAAGGCTATAATTACATGTTACCATTAAAACATAGTATGAAATTTTTGTGGTAATCAAATTACGGACCTTTACAGACTTGCAAATGCTACAACCTACGATTGATAACAAAAACTTAAATAAAATAGTCCAACAAGACTTAAACCAAAACTAAAACTAAAATCAAATAGCTACAATAGTGAACCTTTTACTTTCATCTTTAGGTTTTGAGTAAACAGTAAAAACTAATAAAGAGGCCTAGTGCGAAGTTGATAGAGTATTAATAATTTGATATACTTATAGTGTCTAGTTATATGTATTAAATTACTAATATCAAATAATTAGGAAGGATAAAATAATAAATTATTACTGTCTTATTGGATTATCGATTTTCTCAATGACCCAATAGTAAAAATCGATCTCGAACCAATAATTCGATCGATTCGATGCACAACCCTAAATATAATTACGTTTAGAGGTGGGGCATGGCACAATATAAAAAGATTTTAGTTTGGTAATTTTGATTTTAAAATATTATTTTATTATAGATATCTAATCGGTATTCGGTTCGGATTAGTATTTATGCTACATTAATTTTGTAATGATAATTTCATTGATTTTAACCTATATATACTCGTATGATATTATTTTTCAAGAAATATTTTAATTATATCACATTGACACCTTATACACGTATAATTATTCAAAATAAAGTACAAATAGTTTTTTTTGTTAATCAATCACCAAAAAAAAAATATTTTAATCAAAATATAATAGTCAAAGATCCAACGTCTAAATAATTACTTTATATCAGTATTATCTTACATAGAAACATATATTTGCTAGTATTTAACTATATACTTTAATATATACAATCAATTTTTTAGAACATATACCAAATATCATAATATCAAAATATTAAGAGTTTGATATGATATTCAATATCTATCATAATATCTACCGTAGTTGAGATTTTTTTTTCTTTTTGAAAAGTTAACTTCCTTTTTTGGTGTCAATTTCTATGCTTTTTTTTCTAGGGCCACAATGACAAAATAAAATTTGTATACATTTGTCATTTTTGCAAATAAAAAAAAGAGCAGAAAATAATGGAAGCAAGCAACGCAAGTGATGGGTACCCGTTCAGGGTCTCCGTGGCCCAACAAAAAAGTGGTTTCAATTTTCTTTCCTTATTGGAAAAAATGTTTATGGCCCTTTTCAGCAACGGTTTGTAACTTTTGACAATTGGCATGGCGTCTACATCAAAGAAATGGGCACGGGACCTCTATTTCGTCTCGTCCAGGCTATACTTTCTTCTAATACTTTTCCAACTCCCACTTTTCAGGTTCTAATTTGCTTATCAATCAATTCGAAAAAATGTTAGGTTTTTTAATGGAACATTGAATTGGTTTTAAAGTTAACCTGAACAAGTTTGATACCGTATTTGTGGAATGATATCAGAAATTGATTATGAATACCTATAAACGGTCGCAATGTAGTGATTCATATAATGAATCGAATCAAGCCAGTAGACTATGATTGTGCCTTTTGCATTTATGAATATTCAGTGTTTATGGCTTTGATTGCAGATTCCCTTGTAGAATTGGTACATGTACCACACCAATTGAAGTGTCACTATCTCTGTTGTACGCAAATGGAGTTGTTCCGGGAGGTATGGTAAAAGCCCTGATTTACCCAGGAGCAGTAGCTAAAGCCATTTATAAGAACAACGCCATCCCAAGCTATAACAAGCTTCTAGAAGCTTACAAATTCACCAATATGAAGGAATCTCATGTAACACATGATCTACAGAACTTAGAGGTTAATTATCAATTTATAAATTCCGCTTGAATTTGGGGGTTCTTCTTTTTCATTACTTGTGTTTAATTTTTTAAATTTGTGGTTTTGTGCTACACAGGTTATAGTAGGAAGTTACTTGTCGGTGGCTGGAGCACTATTGGGTCTAATGAAATCAGGGAGATTTAGTCTTATTGGGATTCTTCTCATTACATGGGGTCTTGACAAGCAAGTACTTTTTAGGAATTCCGCAAGTGTAGTCATCTACCCAACTATGCTAATTGCTTTGCTTTCTGCCTTCTTTTCTATCAGAGCAGATGTCACAAAGATGATACGTTTCTCCAAACAACAGGCTTCTATTAGAAATGAACAAAAGCAAAAGATAACTAGAGTTAGATATGCTAGGTGATTGATTGCCACTTTCTTCTTATTTCTTTTTTTGTCATACAGTTAGGTTGCAACAATTCCTTATCAACATTTATCTTCATTAAGTGATTACTATATTGCAGTAATTTTGATGCTGACAAGTACCAAGCACTGAGTCACAGTGGCAAACGTGCATTTATTTTCATACTTCATCATGGTGACAAAATACTATGTTTTCTATAGAAGTCTTTTATTTGTTCTGGTGTCATTAGTCATCACTTAGAGAGAAAATTAAGTAAATATAGTAGGCCCTGTCTTGTTTGTACAATTAGAAGTTAGTTTTCTTTAAAAAATTATTAACACCTGCAATTCATATACAGAAGAAAGATTCATGATTTGTGGTTGAGTGATCATTACTCCTTTATCTTTTATTAAGATATAACTTGAATGAATTCGTGTTACGAAGTCGTCTTCGATAGAAACAAAGACTCAAAAAGCAGATGATATTTTCATTTTCCAATAGAGAATCTAATGTGGGCCTAGCCCTCACTTTTGATGAATCATATGGAGGGACCCAGCGGCAGCAAGACAAAGCACCATCGTACACTAGGTAACAAGGATTTCTGTCTTTTTGTTTTTTGGTTCAATGGGTTAATTTGTTTATCAAATAGGAAAATGTGATGGAGAAAGATAAAACATAAAAGAAATTCCTTCTATAATGAGCAGTAGGAAACAGTGGAGTAACTGATTGGTGAATAGTGGAGCTGACCCACTGCAGTTAACAATAAGATATTTTTCCTACTAGGGATTCTTCTCAATTACAAAGAAAAATATTTGAGTTTTCGCTTCATACCAGGTTTTGCTTTTATCAAATTCTTTTTTGGAAAAGCTTGTTGGTGACTTGGAAAAGTTACTACCTTTTAACTTCAGATTCTTTTCTAGTACAAAGAATCTTGTACTGAGAGTTCAGTGACCCCCAACAAGAGAGTCGGCTGCATCATGGAAGCTGAGAATATTCTCAGAATCATAAGAAAATTTGCACTTGCAGAGGTGTTTGTATGCTTCTAATGGCTAGCTGCTGTTGGAGGGTTTTCACATTTGCTGCAAATTTCTTGCTATTCCTCTGTTTTCCATCTCTAGGATAAAGCAAGAGGAGTTCAAGAATTCTGTTTCAGGTAAAAATGGGTACTATTTTTTATTGAATCAGATCTAAGAGGACTACCCCTGCTGCACTTTTGTAATTTTGACATACTTTTTGACCCAAAAAGATAGATTATTTCTCTCAGGTTTAGAAAAGTTGGCCTGAACTTTGCAGAGAAGAATGATGATGTCTTTGAATTCATTGAACTATTCAACATATACATTAGCTCGTATGAACAGCCACCATAGCCATAACAGAACAAGAAAAAGTCCAGCTTTTGTGACACCTCCTTCATCCATCATCTCACAAACTGAAGAAAGCAGAAATCTAGCCAACTCAATGGAGAATTCTCCTTTAGATATGGCTTCAAAGTGCCCAGATTCTTCTGTTTTGCTCACCCATGAAAATGCAATAGGGATCATTGGGGGGTTATCCATTGGAACCACTCTCAATTTTATGAGCAAGCTTGTCACATGGAGTTCTAAAGATGGTGGAAATAGCATTCCCTTTGTTCTTTGTTCCGATCCTGTTCTTAACAAAGAGCTTTCATGGAATGAAAGAGGTTCTATTTCTTACCTCACTGGTAAAAATGAAAATTTACTAAAAGATCATGCTCCAATTGTTGAAAATCTTAGGCATAAAAGGATCTTTCTTGAGAAATCTGGAGCTCGATGCATTGTCATGCCTTGTTATGTATCACATTCTTGGCATCATGAGGTTGCACTAGGGTCTTCAGTTCCCATCCTTCATATGGGTGAGTGTGTGGCCAAGGAGCTCAAAGAAGCGAATTTGCGACCACTTGAAGCTGGGAGTACTCTGCGCATTGGAGTTCTGGCTTCGGATGCAACTTTGTCTGCTGGTTTTTATCAGGAGAAACTTCAAAATGAGGTATCAACAGTTGTTCTTCCAAATTCTTATGTCATACAAATATGTGATTGTTTTAACCATCTAAATATGTGTCTCTAGTTTCAGTATATGACTAGTTCAAGAAACAACCATCTTTCCTCAATTTATCCTCAACCTTCTTATGTCATACAACTTTGTCTGCTGGTTTTTATCAGGAGAAACTTCAAAATGAGGTATCAACAGTTGTTCTTCCAAATTCTTATGTCATACAAATATGTGATTGTTTTAACCATCTAAATATGTGTCTCTAGTTTCAGTATATGACTAGTTCAAGAAACAACCATCTTTCCTCAATTTATCCTATTATAACAACCTCGTAACTTGTGAATTATAATGGTTTAAGAACTTATATCGGATAATATTGATCATGGGAGGATGGTATGTTAATAGGATAAGTTGTATGCCCAGTCTTGTGCTTTGAGTGCCACGAGATAGGAATTATCTAAATAGCACTTATCTGGCTATTCTATGATATAGTAATCCCAGTTGTAAGATGAGCTTCATGAGATCATTCCCTCTAAGAAGAAAAATCGTTTATGATGAAACTAGTCAGTTACCCTTCTGACATGGGTCTTGTTCTCCTCTTCATGTGACAGTTTATAGGAAACTAACTGCTCAGCAATCCTTTATTTTATTTCATTCAGTGCTATATTGAGCATTGATTTTGCAACTTGACAGGATGCATATACTGATAATTTTTAGTCCCACAGTTCGTATTCTCATATGTTGCTAATCTTGTAGATTGCCAACTCTGCATGATTCCAAGTATGTTTAATGTCACTCAGAAAGCAGAATTGTGTAAAAATAGTTTTCAGTGATCAGTCGGCTCCCTCTTTCCCCCCTTGAAGTAATTGCAGCAAACAAGCTGTCGATGCCTTCTTATATTCTTGCCACAGCACCTTTTCTTTTTACTTTTGAACCTTTCCATGCTGTTGCACAGAAGGACCTAGCCAGTTTGCAGTTGAGATGTACCAAAATAACTTGAAATTTTTTGTTCATAAACAGCTTTAGAACAAACAGATCAGGGATTTTCATCTTTGCGCACCAAAGCTTCATATGATGGTGAAGGGAAGACGCTTTTTCTTTAGCCGGATTTGATATGTATTGTCAGGCAATTCATGTACAAGTAGCAATAATAGGGAGTTGAGCATTAGAATCGTGGAAAACCTTCAATAATATAGATCTGTCTTATGTAGACATGTAGGCTAATCAATTTTGAGTATTGTTACTATTCACAGAATGCTATCAAGAAACAAGATAGCCCCTTGTTCTAAGTGTCACAATGAAAAATGCTGTAGGTATTTGGGCAAGAGTGCTTCAATCTTCTTATCATTTTTCATTTCTTAAAAAAAGTTCTTGTCATTCCCCTAATTAGAGATGCTTGTCAATTTTCTTGTCTCAAAGGAAGCTATACATATATTCTTCGTGTAAAAGTCTCTGTGTGTAAGGTTTGTAAGCCTCTAAGTACTACCAACCAGCAGGCATGTGCAACATCAAGTTCTGGATATGTTCAATGGCACGATAATACTATTGTTAGGTGATTTATTCATCAACAGTTGGAGTTATCACTGATGGTCATTTGTTATTCCGCTTTTACTGAGTGTAGGGTTTTGAAGTTGTGCTGCCAGATAAGGCCACTATGGAACACACAGTAATCCCTTCGTTAGAAGCCTTGAACAGGAAGGACATTGAAGGGGCACAAAATTTGTTCAGAATCGCGCTACAAGTTCTTCTGGTAAGGGCAGTTAACACTATCATAATTGCCTCAGATGACATGCGTGATCTGTTACCTCCAGATGATCCTCTTCTGAAGAAATGTGTCGACCCAATGGATGCGTTGGCCAGGTCAACTGTGAAATTTCTTCAATCAGTTGAAGGGAATGCATAATTACACCCACACACAGGCAGAGCTACAGGTCTGTTTACGAGTTCAGTAGAACCCAATCCCAAACCGTGTATTTCTGTTTAAAAGTCCACTTAGTTTTGAATTAATAATTTATTCAGTAGAATCAGAACCCAATAAGCTGCCTTTTCTAAATCTAGAACCCAGAAATTCAAAATCGTGCCTCCGCACCCACAAACATATATACAGATTATATTTTGTTGAATCCTGGTAAGGTTTGTTATTCTTTAGAAGTCGATTTTTATCGTGAAAGAATATGGGCTCTATCGCCCCTCAAATATGTAATTCTTTAGAAGCCGTTTTTTATCATAGATTATATTTTATGAAATGTCAAATGAAAAAGAATTGATTAATTATGCAAGTGAAATTGTGAATGGCTTCTTTTAGAATGAATCATGTTATTTAAGATTACTTGAGTTTGTTACATTTCCATCTTGAAGGCCTACTAACTCCCTTGAATGCAATTGAAATCTTGGAAAAAGAAAGACAAGTTTTGAAGATTTCAGATTACAAAATGGCTATGAATACGAGTAGAAAGTGTGTGCGCAATTAAAAAAAAAAAAGCCTTTAATTCAGTAGAAAGTGCAAAACCAGCACTCCTCACTTTCTCCAGTCTCTCCACTTAAATCACGTAAATTATAACTTACTCTATCCTGTGCCGACCTCTGTCTAAACAAGAATCACCTGAAGTATTGAACCTTTGTAAGAAAAACATGATAAAGTCAGTAACTTTTACATTCTTGCATGAAAATAACCATATCCCCTTCAACTATTTAGTACTTTCTTCACTCCATCAAAATAACCAATATCTAACCATCTCTCTGCTTCACTAATGCAACTTTGCAAATTCTTTTCTGTTCATTGCTACAAATGCATTTCAAAGGTACTCGATTTTACATAATGCAGCTAATTGTAAGCTTGATTTCATTTTTGCTATATTTACAAGTAGAAATTGTTGGAGGGTTTCAAGAAAATGTCACATATAGCTCGTTCAATTCTTCTTCATCATGGCTTAAAAGAGTAGTGAAGAATCCACGAGCCATTGGGTGCGGGAATAGGCCCTGGATTTGCAATGAAGGGGACTTTCCTCCAAGAATAAAGAAGCGTTGTTGCAGGAATCGCTGTATTGATGTCACATCTGATGTGAATAACTGTGGATTTTGTAGAATTAAATGCCCCTTCACATGGCAATGCTGTCAAGGAATTTGCATTGATACTAACATGAGCCCTTTTCATTGTGGAAGCTGTGTGCGTAGATGCCAGCCTCCAAGCCTTTGTTTTAATGGAATGTGTGGCTATGCTCAACCAATGCCCCCCTGGCCGTTCCCACCTCGGCCTCCCAAGCCGCCTCGGCCACCATATCCGTTCCCACCAACACCGCCTCGCCCACAATATCCGCCCTTTCCTCGGCCACCATATCAGTACCCACCAAGGACGCCTCAGCCACCATGCTCACCCCCGCCGTTGCTTTAATGTTGACGATGAAGCCTTTTCTTTAAACGGAAAACCTCAATAGAACTCTCAAAAATCATCGCCATTTCTTAATTTCCTGCTTGACTTCTTTCTCCGGAGTTTGATTCTTGCTCAGTTGTTCATAGAAGAAGACTACACTGTGATATCTCTGTGGAGTCGTCATCTAAAAAGTATAACTTTCCTCGATCATTGTATTTGTGATTTCATTTGCAAGTTTTTTCGATTGTTTGTCTATCAGAATTAACTTATATGATGTATGGAACTATGAAAATTATACTACAACTTGAAGGATAAATTAAAGTAGTTAACACTATGGACACTGCTGAATAACAAAGGCACCCACATTGAACTGTTGTAAGAGAGTACTTGTAACTTGCATCTCATCAAATACAAGCCTTTTATGATTAGTGAAGCTATACACATTCATTCCAGTCAGCATAAATCATGAATATGCAGAGCAATTTATATTCTTGATAAATCTATACTTACAACTAAATTTGATAAATTCAGATTGTACTACTTAATATTAAAAATTTCTGCAGCTCTCACACAAGAAAATTTCTGGTATCACCTCCTCCTCATGATCATCAATGCCAGTACACATTGAGTGGAACCACACTTGGCAAGCATCACAATTTACCATTCTCTCCCCATCATCATCCCTGGCCCCACAAATACAATCTACCTTTAACTTTATGGCCCCACCTTCATACCTGTGTTCAGTATCCAAGTCCAGCCCACAACCTCTCACCCAAACTTGTGCATCTCTGCCCACTGCGCATGATAGCATCCTATCATCCTCTATTCCCTTCAAACCACCAATTTGTGTTACTACAAAGTTCTGCATTATGCAGTAAGTGTCTCTTAGTGCATATTGTATCACTCCTTTAAGCTCACCTATTGTAATCCAAGGAGGAACAAACACAACCACACCAGGTGACAATGGACGAGTCAACTCACTCTCTAACTCGTCGAAACTCGGCAAGACTTTACATGTTAATGCCATTATTTGATGTTCTTGATCCTCAAGATTCCACTCTTTAACAAATTTCTTGCTGTCTAAGACAACCCCAGTAGCCAAACTCACTGAGTCTGACCCTGGGTAACTTAAAAGCACTGTTTCATATAAGTAAACAAGATCTTGATCTATATTCACGTGTAACTCAATGTTCTCAACTCTGTTTGTATCAACAATGTCTTCAAAGGCAAATTCAATCCTTTTAGTAGAGGGGTTCTTTGATCGAAAAATGATCTTGTTTCCCATTATCGATTTGTTAATGGATTTCAGCACATAATCAATCAGGCCAGTGTCGCGGATGGTTGTCCTAGCCCTGTCACGTAGCTCCTGTCTGGACATGGCACCATTCCCATTATGTGCTCTCAAGATTTTCAGGATGAACTCAGCAGCTTGTTTCACCTTTCTCTCAGTCCACCTGCAATCAGAATCCATTTCCAAAAATGGAAAACTTATTGATTCTTCTTCCTTAGAAAATTCATGGATAGTGAATTCTAATAACTTAGTAGTTGGGTTGATGGATCGACGAACAATTTGGCTTCCCAATGCAAAACATCTGATGGATTTCAGCACAAAATCAATCAAACCAGTGTCACCAATGAATTTTCTTGCCTCATTTCTCAAGTCCTGTCTGGTCATCCTACAATTTCTGCCTACATTTGCTTGATTTTCTTTCAGAAAATTCACAATCACTATTACCACAAACTCTAGCCGTCTAACAGGCCATCTACAATCACTGTTAGCCATCATATTAACAAATGTCTCCATACTAATTGGTCTTTTTTTCTCTTCTATATCAGCATCACACCAATAATCATCACCATTTGCAAGCTTCATCTTGCTATGAAACGGAGCTTTAGACTTAAAAGCAAGCATGAATTGCAATAACTCGCTAATTGTGATCAATGGAACTTCACTCAATTCCCTGTAGGTACCAATAATCTGCTTTATTTTCCGTCTTTCTGTAAAATCTTTCCTGAAATCATTCAAAATTTTGTCAAGCCCCAATGAGCTTAGAAATTGAATAGCAATTTCATATTTCTTCTCTGTCGCTCCATAGCTTCCACGGCAAAATCTGTAACCCCATTTCCCAAACCAAGATTGTCCATATGCAACACCATGAAGCAACCTCAAATGCACACCTCCCTTCTTCGACACATCATTCAATGAAATTTTCCTGGCAAATAACAATAATAAGATAAATAACTCTTCAATTGCAGCTTAAAAATTCCATACAACAATACTACTTCGTTTATTCATCTAATCAAACAATAATACTACTTGCTTGGATCACAAAACTTTAAAATAGCTTTTACTAAGTTACGACTATAATTTCTCACACAAAAACTTAATCACCATGATCTTCAGTACCTGGTTTTTAAAATTGTACAAAGACGATCCCAGAGATCCATGAAATCACTTCCAGAGAGAAAAATTGAATCCTCATTAACGCCATTAATGGACAGCAAATGACCATAACCATTGCAATGAATCAAACCATGCAAAACATGAGTATCAATTTCAAAAGAATCGCTTCCCAATGGCTTTTCCCAATTCTCATTTGCCGGTATTAGCAAATGATACCTTCGTTTCGACACATAATGATGACCCCATCCTTCAACAACACAAAAATAACACTCCATAACAATAAACAAAAAAACGTTACCCACGAAAATTCATAACTAATTTGCGGAAGAAAAGAAAAAATTGAGTGTTCATTTGATTTTACCAGATAATTTACAGTGATCGCAGAAAGGATGAATAGAAAGTTGAGTGGTTTCTTCAATGGTGTAGAGTGGGAAAACAGAACCTGTAGAGTTGGAAATCAACCAAGTAGACCAAATTGGAAAACCACAGAGCGTGTAATCTTCAATGGTAGCAAATTCTTGAAGAAACATTCGAATGTTGTCTCTAAAAGGTCCTGAAAAACCGTCAATGGAGTCTCCCATTGCGAATGTTTCGAATATAAATGGCTTTCGGTTACTCTTTCTACTGTTACAGGCTTCGATAATGGTGGAAGAAGCCATGGCAAAAACTACACTGAATCGTTCTTTTTTTTCCTTTCTGGCCAAATTGTTGAGAAAATCAGTTTGAATTTTCGTGAGTGTATCAGACTATAGTTATGTTTTCTTTTACGTTTTGGCGCTCTATAATGATGATGACACTTGCTGATTTTACATATTTAGCCCTGTGGAAATGCTGAATGAGTGAATTTTGAATGTGGATTTTTCAAGTTTTTAACAAGGGTATTCTGGTAAATGATGTTCTACAAGTTTAAAGTTTCTGATTTTGTTTCAACTTTTTTTGGTTCACGTGGTTCAAGAGCAATGCTTGTTGAGTTGTTTCGTTAGGATCTTCCCACCAAAGAAGGGGGTGGGATTTCCAGAGGTGAAATTGTAAAAATGCCCAAGTTTTTTGATTTTTTTTTTTTTAAAAAAGTAGTAATTTGAAATTGAATTGAAAACAAGTTGGTGGAAGTTTTTTGTGTCCTCCTAAATGTGGTCGATTTTATTTGAAATTGTATATAAATATGTTTACATAATTTACAACAATAATATATCAGCACAATTCTATAAGTGAGGGGAAGATGGTGGTAGGCAACATTATTTTTGCCGTGGAAAAAGATAGAAAAATTATTTACAAATAAACGCTCCCCTCAATACAATTATAAAGAATCCTTGGGGTGAAATTGTGAAATTTAATGATATAAAGTATCAAGCTAGAAAGGATTGATCAATCATGCAAGTATTACAAGGTTGAGAATATTGAATTGTGACCAATAAAATTAAAATTTATATAATGAACAAGTTTAGTTTTTTTTTTTATTTTAATTTATGTGATATTTTTCGAATTTCAAAATTTAAACATATCTGTATCTAACGGTAAATTTTTCATACATTTTTTAAATATTTTGAATTGTCAATTATTGTAACTTATAATACTTTTTACGTAATTTCTAAATATATAAATTTTATTTTCAAAAAATTGAATATTTGCATATCAAACTTAAATTATTTGACTCTAAAAAATGAAATGTATGTGATATAATTGGGACAAAGGGAATAAGATTTACCACAATAAACACTTATCCAAATAAATAAAATAGTCACGCTGGTGAAATTATGAAATTTGAAAGGATACATTCCCAATGTATCCATAAAAGAAAAATAAGTTTCATTAGTGGCATTCCATATTAATATATTAATATGTGTTTGAACCAATCGCACTTCAATTTTACCCCTACCAATAGCTACATCTCCCCACCCCACACTTCTAACCCTCTCCTGCCCGTCTTTTGTCTTCCATAATATTTGTCTATATTATACGAATGTACAAAATATTAAAAAAAAAATACTTGTTTTATTTAAAAATTACTATTAACTATTTTTGGTTTAAAAATGAAAAAATATTGACTAGGTTTCGAAAAATCAATTAATCTTATTATTTAAGAAAAATCGACTTTTCGAATTACGGAGTCGCCACTTGATTTTGATAAAATCAAGAAAAATTTCAAAAGATTTAAAACAGATTAAAATCAATTGAAAAACAAAGGTTCGAAGTTCAATGTACATCCCGAGAAGGTATTAGGCCCTCGGGATGTCCGCTAACTTGCGGTTGACCGGCGATTTGACTAAATGACTTTTTAAGTAAAAAGAAAATTTATTTTAATATTTATTATTTTATTTTTTATTATTATTATTACTATTTTTTATTTCTAAAGGAGCTATTTAAAGGGATTTAATTTAAGAAAAACTAATTTGTGATAAAAGTAAATGAAATGAAATAAGTAAATAAAATAGTAAAATTTAAAATAATAAAACATGGCTACCCTTTAGGAGATTATTTAAATTATACCAAAATACTAATCAATTCAAACAAATATTAAACAAAGAGAAAAAATATTTGAACTCGGGCTTAATTGCCCAAATTCATTCAATTGGGCTTTAGCCCACCTGTCCTAATCCAATAATTTAGATTTGGGCCTTTTACCAATTAACATCCTAAAAAAAAAAATATTTAGCCCCTTGGGCCTATTAAAAATCTGCTGCCCTGGCCCATCTCCTGAAAAGAAATTAAAATATACAAAATGATGGCATACTGTATATATCCAATCCGTATTGGACTTTTAATCCCTGTATTTGTTCGAATACAAGTTCTCATGATTTACCCTGTATTTCCCATATCGTTTCTGCGTATTTACCTGTATCATTTTTTAAACTTGTTTAACAATTGTATATCGTCGCCAAAAAGATGTATACTAATGTATAAGGGCTGCACCCTACGTACGTATTCATTGCCTAGTCCTGTCTTTTATTTAAAATCGGCGTCCCCGTACGTTAACCTGCAATTCACATTTTTTTACACATATTTATATTATATCGTGTCTGTATATCAGTGTATACAGGCTGTATATCAGCCTGATTTTCAACTTTCGAAAGTTGAAACTCCTTTTCCGAAGCGTATCCTCACTGCCACAAACCCAGATTTCGAGTTCGGATTTCCTGTACATTTTCGACATGTATACCAGTGTATATCAGATGTATATAGCTGGTTTACGGTTCGAGTCCGAGTGGCGGCATACCATCTTCTAAAAAGGTTGAAATTCTTAGTATAGATCGAAGTATCGATATATCTAAATCTAACTGAGTACGTATAATAAGAATAAGTGCAAAGAATGTAGAACTGTAGAACTAAATAAATGGACCTCCGGGCGGTACAAAGTAAACCTCTTCCGTCTTCATGCTTTTTTAGAGCATGTGCCTGCTGTTTTTCCGGAGCTGGTGGAACAGAAGATTAGTGAAGTAGCCTTTCTTACTGGACAACCGTTAGGTTACTACGGTTCATGGTCACTGTTCTCGCTGTCAGTATTTCTTATGAATAGTAGGGCACTGAGAGAGAACTTCAAATCAGGGAAGAGGGTTCTATTCCGTTTCAGGCACCTTTGTATGAAACTTCCGCTTCCTTCCTAGGTATATTCCTACCCTACCTATCGAAATGAAAAAGAAGTCCCCTTTACCAGGCTTAGCACGAAATCAGCCGGATCTAGAATGTATTGCTAAGGATCTCTCCCCTGGAGGATTTCCCCCATCCTTTCCCCCCCGTGTCTCTCCTCCAGCATTTCTGTGAGGCGCTCGGCTTGAAAACCCCCCGGAACGCGTGTGTGGAGTTCCCGGTGAATCTCTTCACCGGTCGGTCAGTTATGGAAGACTCTGCGATGTATATAGCTGGTTTACAGCTTCAAAAAAAAACATGCAGTCGAATTCTGCAAACTGCTACTTCAGCAGCTCTCCAATGTCGGATTTCGACCTGTAAATGGGTCTTAAGACCTCCTAGACTTGAGATGGGCCGACTCAAAGATCTTTTAACTCGGAGGAATGCGGGAGTGGAGTCCGAAACGGACTCGAATCGATGTCACATGTAATGAAAAAAAAAACAAAAGAAAAGGATTAACAACAGCCTTAAATATTATCCTTAAAACAAGATCCTCAACAAAGCAAGCATTAGGCAAGAACGAGTTCTTTAGACTTTCAGACATACATAAGTATGAAACCTTCGGCAAATTCGAAGATAGCAATAGACAACAACACATAAACTATTGTAACTAAAGTATGCTTTGAAACAAAGGGAAGTCATGCTTTCATTAAGACGTAGAAGTCAAAAGAAGAAGAGTTGTCCACATGAAACCAACATATCATCCCAAGCCTAAGAAAAGAAAAGCAAATAACAGTGCCATGGCTTATTGAAGCAAACCTCAAAACTCCCTAACCAATTTTTTTTTTTTGAGTTCGAATAACAAGCTCAAGCAACGTAAGAAACTTATTAAAGAGAACCAACCAAGAGAGACAAACATTGGACACCAACAACCCCAAACAACGCATTAATTAACCTCACAAATACGAACTCGAGCCGAGGCCTATAACGACCAATGTATAACGTTACAACAACCTCCATCATCACATGAATCACGCTTAATGCTTAGAGTACACATAGAATCAACATTTGATGAAAGAACTCTTAAAACAGGGCATGCCAAGCGACTCCAAAGGGACAGCACATTAAGCAATGGTAAGAGAACTTTTCAGGGGACACAAAGAAAACTTAAAGTGAAGACTGAAAGGGAGATAAACTAAACTGAAAATGCACTGTCCGAACAGTCGAATTCACATTAATGAACACCGGGTGCAGCTATACATGTTAACTCATGAGAGAAAAATCATGACACTGCACATTATTCATACTGAGCTGAAAACACCAAGAAACCGAGAGAACATGGGAACAAACGCCATAACTAACACTTACTAACAAACCTAAGACGAGGGGAATGAAAAAAAAAAAAGAGCATCATGAAATATACAAGCATAAACAACTTAAAGAACACTCAGCGAATAGACTCTATAAGAAAACTAACAAGTCAGTTGTAACACACATTCGTATTCAAATTTCATAATCGTCATCACCAAACGAATCGTCAGAAGAAGCCATTTCGAAACGAAAGAAACAAGAAAGTTATGCGAAGTGGGGGATTACCTGTCGACGAGCAGCGAATTGAGACGATACGAGCAGGTGCGAACTGCTTCTGCCACGAATGACAACTCGAACACCCAAGCGAGGGAAGGAAGCCGATGGATCGATCAACTCTTCCGAAGTGCGTAAGGAAAGCTGAAGAACTGGACTATTCTTATGCTAAAATGTTAACAAAGTTTCAACCAACGATTCAACTTAAACTTTCGACCAAATTTCCAAAAAATATCCAACCCAAGTTCTGCTTTTTCCGAATTCTTCGATGAAAATTCTCTAACCCTCTTTCTGATGAAGAAAAGGGGTATTTATAGAGGAGAAGAATTAGCCCCTTCTTGAATTCAAAAAATTTCAAATTCGCTTTGAGTCAAACCTCACATGGCCATCGCGTGCCGGCGAGGATGACTGCGACGTTTCGCAGACCTGCTTGACAGGGTATGGGTCTCTGTCGTTGTGTCTTGCTCACGCGAAAAGGAGGAAGGGAGAAGAACGTGGGTTGTTGGCGCGATTTCTGGGGAGAATTATCGTGGCTGCTGGTCTGGGGACGCGCTTAGGGGAAGAAGAAGGAAAGGGGGTCGGGTCGGAGCGGGTCACAAGGGTTTGGGTCGTTGGGTTTGAATTTGGTTGGGTATTGGATTGGTGTTTAATGAATTGGGTATTTAGGTGTGGGCTGAGGGAAATTTGGGCTGTTGGATAGAGAATGGGCCTCAGAATTGAGGTGGGGTTGACAAGGGGAAAGGGAAATGGGCCGCTCATCCTTTGGGCCTGGGGCGGCTGGAAAGGAGAGGGGGGGAAATTGGAGTGGGCTGGTAGGTTGGAGAAGGGAGATTGGGCCTGGGCGTTGGGCTGGAAAAGGGGAAGAGAAATGGGGTGGGCTGAAAATAAACAAAAGGGAAATGGGCTGGAGGAAGGGAAGCCTTAAGATACACACATATACATATACATATATGTATATATATACATCTATCTTATTTTCGCAAGATTTATAAAACCAATTAACTCATACCGACGCGGGTCAAAATTGGGTGTCAACAATACTTACACACCAAACACAAAAAAATAAATAAGAAATCTAAGTATTCTAGAGAAAACAATAGGACTTGGAAAATTGGAAAACATAGAAAGATAAAAACAGAGAGCTCCACAGACATGGCAAAATAACAAGACAACCCACATTAACAAAAAGTCTTCTTCTATAAGATGTGTATACATGGTGAAACTAGTGTTGTATAGACTCTAGTTTTTACTTACATCATCAGATATGAAGCTATTCTAATTTGTGAAACTATGTAGTATGTTTGTGTAGTCACTTCACAATGACAAGGCAGCATTTTAAACTACAACACACCATAATGTCTCCCTGCATATGTAAAAAATCACCCAATTAACCACTTCAAAAGTTGATCAAAAAGCCAATGCGATAAAGTTCAGACTCTTCACTTCTCCATAGTGTCTGTCTGGTGATTCCGGTGAAGGCTGCAGCTATTCAATCCAGTCACCATAGATTCTGCTGTTCCTTTTTAGGTCATCCAACTTGGGTCGATGCTTAGCTTGAGCAATGGTCTGTTTTTCATTGGATTCTAAATTCGTGGCGAGTACATTCCTGGATAGAGAAGAAATGTCAGCACTGCTCCGCGATTCCGGTGGATTGGAGGAATCAAGACTCCTCATTTCTGTCATTATTGAGTAGTATAACAAATCAGAAATGGTATTGAATCTTACCCTTAATAAGAAATCAAGTATCTGAGGCCAAAATTATAGACAACTTAATGTGGTGATCTTAGCATCGCCAAAACCATGTAAGACAGGACTGTCCATGACATAAATGAATAGATTTGTTATGTATTTCCATCTTTATAGTTGAAATCCAATTGTAAAGTACACTTATCGAAGTTAGAAAACATGAAATTGCACATTAACCATGTTTGTTAACAATAAAGTCTTGAACAATAATGTTCATACAAGTTCAAGATGCGCAACAGGCCACATGACACTCAATCAACTAATGCACATTGACTACGATTTGGATCGTCTCCCAATGAAAAGACAACTCCATTCTACATTTCCTCAAGACTAAAATCATGATTTGTCTCTAAATATCAAGACTCACATAATATGCTTTAAACATCTCATTTTGTACCATGCCAAATGGTTCAAACAAAAAAAAAACCAACACCTTATACTATCACAGGTTTGCGCGTATGAAATATTTTCACAGTGAGCTTATGAAAGAAGACAAAAACTATCAAGTAATCAACATGAAAATCAACTCAACAAATTAATCAAGAAGTGAACATTGGAAATACCTGCCTCCCCATGAGCAAATATACATTTTTCACCATAAAAACATCTCTTCTTCATTTCCCACTGGTGGCAAAGCTTGGTCTTGAGCTTTGTACAATTGACAGGCGCCTTGGGTTGCCCAATGTCCTGCGAATCATTCACAAGTATTATTGCAGAGCTCTCCCTGGGTTCACCTTCGTCTGTAGAATGGAGGTGACAACACTTTTCACCATAAGGGCAGGTACCCCACTTTTTGAATTGTCTGCATATATTTTGACGATCATGAATCGTAGGCACGATTGGAATGTTACCTTCTTGGGCCATTCTTGAATTTTCCTCTATGGGTTTCTTCAAAGATTCACATTCAGCATTACCAGAATACTCATTACGTTTACCAGAAATTTCAAGATTATTATCAGGTGTACTCATTTTCCTACTGTGTTCTTTTTTATGAAGTAAAGAGAAGAGTAAGAAGAGATAAGAGGAAGAAGAAGAATCTGCAATAGAAAGAAGAATCTGTAGAGAGAATATCTCAAAGTTGTATTATCAGAAATGTCATCTAATTTAAATATAATGATGTATTTATATTGAAGATTAATATAGAATCTTTTTGAGTAACTAACTTCTTGAATTGTAACTAACTTAACACTCGTAATTAACTTAATTACTAATATGATTAATTAGTTTCTTTCAACATACTGTTTGGGGTTTTGTAAAAATATTTGTACATATCATATGGAAGTTTACAATCAAGATTAAGTGATCATCAATATCAATGATTAAAAAGGGCACAAAAACTTGAAACTTCATCAATGACGGTTAAAGTGTACGAAATAAGAAAATACGGTTTTAGAAATCAAAGAGTATTTATTTGCAAGAAACTCACAATAGTAAGTTGACTCAATAGAGAATGATTTTCTTTTCCTTATTAAATGACAAAACGGCGTTGAAGAGGGCTGGGTAATCATTATTTAAGAATAAATTCATGGAATTTAAAAATAAAAATTACTCTATATGTGTGTGCAATTGTGATTTTTAAATATGTTTTTTAATAGTTGGTTGTTTAAATTTTATATTCTCTTTCTTCAAGTCAAAATGAAATAAAATTTTATTAGTTTAAAAATCAGATCAAAGTTTAACGGTCTTTTGGAATTGAAAACTAACCAAATCAAATTGAAGTTAAGAAATTATCTAGCCCATGCTAATATAGTGGTGTAATTCTAGGAGGGGTAATTGGGAAGATAATACGTAGATAATTTATGTGTTTGAGAAAGTAAATGTCTTTTGATAAACCTCGACTTAAGTGAGCATCAGAAAAAATTAAATCTATAAAGCAAATATAATAGTGAAAAAATCATAAAATTCAATGATATAGTATTAACCAAAAAAAGAATTTAATTTATTACAATCACCTCTGACTTCACCACAACCCTAATCGATTGTAACATTACATATTGACTATGTCTTCCTATCCTCCAACACACCTCATCTTTACCCCATCCGTTAGCCACCATCCCCACTACCCAAGACTTCTATCCCCACCCCCCCAAAAACCCCGCCTCCTATTTATTAGTCTACATTATATAGAAATGCATTTAAGTTAATGGAAAAAATTTACTCACCTTCCAAATCCAAGAAAATAAGTAAAAAGATCAACTTCATTTCCCAGAAAACATCTTCTTCGTTCCGAACACACCCTTGGAGTATTACAACTAACTGTTCAGCTTTCGGAATCCGAAAGCAGTAGGATTTTGAAAATTTTGGAAAACACGGTAGGGATAACAACAGAGCTCCATGGACATGTCTAAATAACAAGACGCCCAACATTAAACAAAGTCTTCTTCCATAAAATGTGTTTCAATGCTGAAACTATAGTTTTTACTTGCATCTTCAGATATAAACCTATCTTATTGTAAAACTATGTAAACACTTCACAAAATCATGACAAGGCAGTTTTTGTCAAAACTAAATCCAAAATGATATAACTTCGCAAGCAGCATTTTAAACTTAAACTACAGAGATACCAAAATGTCTCTCTGAATATGTAAAAAGTCACCCAATAAACCACTCCAAAAGTTCGAGCAAATGAGATAAAGTTCAGGCACTTTAGTTCTCCACAGTGCCTGATGATTATGGGGAAGGCAGCTACTCAATCCAGTCACCATAGACCTGGCTGATCTTGCGTACATCATTCCATTTGAACCTACGCTCAGCTGGAGCACTGGACCCTACTTCATTGGGTGCAACCTTCTTGGCAGGAGCAGAAATGCCAGCATTGCTCGACGATACCAGTGGATTGGAGGAACCATAACCCTGCAGTTCTGTCAATATTGAGAACATCACAGATTAGAAATGGTACAAGGAAAACAAAGAATATAATCAAGAAAACCAAGAAAAAAGAACATAAATATATATAGAAGAAAAAATCAAATGTTGCATAGCTCTACAATTGCATCTTCGAGAAATCTGAGATATAGGTTTTTTTACCAAGGTCTAAATACAGGGCCTTGTATAATCAACTAACATAATAACTAGTATCACAAACACCATTCTGATTTTCTACACTGAAGACTAAAATTTAAGACTCCCACCTTCAAATCATCCATAGCACTTTACAATGTCAGCAACCCCGTAATTAAGACAGGAAAAGTCATCATTTTCTTATAGAAACATCCAAGAAAAAACTTCAACTATGAGTTAATAACTAAGATCATGAAAAAGAGAGGGTTCACTAGCCATTAATTGCAATAATTGAATCTTTCCCTCTATAAGAAATCAAGTAGCAGCAGAATGTCAACAGCTGAGGCCAAAAACGATAGACAAACACTGTGATGATCTTTTCAGATCAATCGATAGCAGGGCAAAACCATATATGGAAGGACTGTCCATAACATGTATGAAATAGATTTTTATTATTTTCCATCTTTATACTTGAAATCCAAATAGACATGCAGGTACTTTGGTAATAGCATTGATGCCTGGCACAAGAACATGCCCAACACAAACAGGACGGGGAAAATGGTCAGAGAATTACCAGCTGTGAGCAGAAAGTATGAAAGACTTTGTATGATCAGATCAATAGATAGCAGGTAAAGTGGTTACGTGTAATATAGACAGAAGTGTCCATGACGTGTTTGGACATGGATTCGCAAAACTGCCCATCCTATAGTTGACAAACAATGGAAAGTACATCTACTAACATATAAACAGGTAGATACTTGGGTAGTAGCATGTTTGTCGATAAAATGATTAAAAACCAACCTAAAAAAAAGAACAACAGAAAAAAGAGTGGTTGAAATCAGAGAAAAAGAAGTTGAGAACAGGAACTTGCACATAAACCATGTTCACTAAGCTTCTTGTTTTCAACTAGGGGTGCAACAAGCCACCACGGCGTGCAATCAAACAATGGACATTAACTTCAATCTGGACTGTCTTGCTAACTCAATGAAAAGACAACCCCATGTCGTACATTTCTATCATGATGAAAATCATTTCATTCTGTTCCTCCAATTATCAAGACTCAGATAAATATGCTTTATGCATGTTTGACAGTGCCAAAAAATGTTAAAACAAAAAAACAACACTGTATCTAATACAAGTAGACATAATTAAAAACCTTCACAAAATTAAGAATATTTCACAATCAGCTTAGGAAAGAGAACAAAGTATTATCGAGTAATCAACATGAACTAATATAACAGGGGAGTAACGTAACGATTCAATACTGAAGAAGGCGAAAATACCTGCTCTCCCATGAGCAAATTGACATCTTGCACCAAAAAAACAGCTCCCGTCCCTTTCCCAGCTGTTGCAAAGCCTGGTCTTCATCCTTGTACGAAAATCCACAGAACTCTTGGGTTCCACATTATCAGAATAACTCTTATTTTTCACTTCATTTCCACCAGACACAATGGTTATCGCAGCACTCTCCCGGTATGCACTCTTTCCTTCCTCAACATAACTTTGGTCATACCCACCCCCCTGCAAAGGCCCATAGGTAGACCCACCAGCAGTATGAACGTAACGGCACCTTTCACCATAACTGCAGTTACCCCACCTTTGGAATCGTGTGCATATTGGCCTGTTACCTTCCTGGGCCATTCCTGAATCTTTCGCTATGGGTTTCTTCAATACACATTCAACATTAAAATTAGACCCACATTTTTTATCACTATACTCATCACATTTACTAGAAATTTCAATATTATTAACAAGACTACTCATCTTCCTACTTTTTGGGGTTTCAAGGGTTTTGTAAAAATCACCAAAAAAAAAGTTCTGTATTTTTTGAAAAAAACTCAGATGATCATCATGTGTTAACAACTCTACAGCTAAATTTTATCAATATTTTTCTTCAGAATGTTCATATTATCAGTTAGAATGGAATCTCAAAGACTAAAAGTTTCAATTTTTCAAAATGAGGCGATTCAGTTTTAGAAATCAAACGAGTGTACTGAAGAGTCCTTTAGCAGAAACTCAGAATTCAGAAACTAAATGACTGAACAAGTGAGAATTTTCTCTTTCTTTAGATGATTAAAACGACGCCGAATTGGTTGATCATTATTTAAAACAATTAATCAACACTCATATAATTGATTGGAATTCTTTTGAAATAAAATAAACCGATTTTTGACTAATGTTTAACAAGGTATTTTACCCAAAAAAATCTAACAAGCTAAAGTTAAGGAAGATGTTCCTGGTTCAATTTGACTAATGCATCACATTTTAAAAATAAAACTTACAAATCAAATCAAACAAGAAAATAAAGGCAAAAAATTACAAGTGCAGTCTATGTGCAATTATTATTTTTAAATAGGTATATATAGTCGATTTGGTTAAACATTTTAAGGTTTTTTCCCCCTTAAAATTAAATCAATTCCAATTCAATTTATCAATTTTTTAATTTAAAAAACAAAACAAAATCAGAGTACTTCTTTTATAAAAAAATTGAAAACAAACCAAAAAAATGTTGATTGTTTTTATTTGGTTCGATTTGATTTTTTAATTTTTAAGAACATTTTAGATCTTCGGATAAATAAATAATAGATATCAATTGTTGTCCACTTTGATCGAAACAAGTAGAGTGAAGTCCATTCAAGAACAAATATTTCAAGTCGATAAATGCATTTACCGATTAATTAAATTTGTAAAGGTCGGAGTAGATCCTAAAGATCCAACACTTTCTCATAAATTAACCTTGAATTGAGATCTTTCGATGTGTTTTAGCCTCACGCTTATGATAAAATAGAATCTGCATACAATCGTGATTAAAATAACAGTAACTATAAAAGAAAAAAATGATATAAAGAATAAAACTAAATTAATCTTGAATTGAGATCTTTTGATATTTTCTAGAATAACGCTTATGATAAAATAGAATCCGCATGTCATCATAATTAAAATAAGAAAAATGATATAAAGAGCAAAACAAGAATTGCTTCAACTACTTTATAAGTTATCATAACTAAATCTCAGCTTCAATTGGAAAATAATAATAAAAGAAATTAATTTCCCATCACATACCTGATTTTGCCAAGAAATAAGAGTTGTTGCTCTATACTTTTCTGCTAAGTTACACTAGTTCTGCCCTTGTATATATAGTGCAAGAGCATAGATTATCATAATATACTTGTTAATGAAAAAGTTGTGTGTATTACCCCCCCAAAAAAAAAAGACAAAGTTGTGTGGTGTCCAAGGTCAAATATTTGTTCACAAATTTATTTTTTTAGCATTACTAATTAAATATTATTAAATGAAATTTCATTAAGTGTTAAGTAATTACATCATTAAATAATTTTAATTTTTTGCTTTAAAATAAATCATAATATATATTTATTTGGTACTAGTTTTGACCCACGTACATTGCACGTGAAAACAAATCATGTATCACATTATTTTAAAAATTAATATGAATATTCCTAAATAAAAAAAGGCAATACAAATACATAAATGTACCTTTTAATTTTAACTTTATTTCACATTTATGTCCTTAAACTTGAATATGCACAAGTTAGGAGGTATTATAGTAATTTAATATACAAGTTAGGGAACTCATGTTTTTAAGGTAGTATAAATAAATAGATAGATATAAATTATTTTTATTTTTTTCTCGCAAATCTAATGTGAAGAGTCTTATTAATATGTTCATAATTAAATTATTTTTCTTCATTAGTTTTTTCTCAAGATAGTTACAAAATTTACATAAATACTACCGATATTCAAAATTATAACTAAAGGATATGAATTTTTTTAAAAAAAGGCATAGCTAAAATGAGTCTCATAATGTTGAAAAAAAAAATTACACTAATTAAATAAATAAATAAAAAATCCAAATTCTCTTGGTTAAGTAAAAAGTCTAACGAGAAAGGCCTACTTCAATTTCAAACTCTCTCTTATATAATAAGAGAATTTTGAAATATTTTTGCTGAAACAGATAAGTCGATGAGGAGGTGTTTGCTACGACCTTGCACTCTCTCTTTTATATATATATATATATATATATATATATATATATATATATATATTTATTGCAACAGCATAGATTATCATAATACTTGTTAATGAAAAAGTAGTGTGATGTTCGGATCAAGTATTTGTTTACAAATTTATTTTAAGTGGTGCTAATCAAATATTATTAAATGAAATTTCGTTTAGTGTTAAGTAGGTATGTGATTAAATAATTTCAATTGTTGCTCTAAAATAAATTATAATGCACGTTAAAATTCAACCATGTACCACATTATTTTAAAAAATAGTATGGATATTGCTAAATTAAAAAGACATAATACATAAATATGTCTTTGACTTGCTTTATTTCATATTTGCGTTCTCAGATTTTGGGTATGCACAAGTTAGGAGGTACTATTATAGTAATTTAATATTCAAATTAAAGAATTCATATTTTTAAGGTAGTATAGATAGATAAATATAGATTTTATTTTTATTTCTTTTCTTGCAAATCTAACATGAAGAGTCTCATTAAGATGATAATTAAACTATTTTTCTTCATCAACTATTAGTTTTACTCAAAATAGTTACAAATTTTTCATAAATACTGCTGATGTTTAAAGTAATAAAATTATAACTAAAGGATATCAATTAAAAAACAAAGGGCATAGCTAAAATTGGAGTCCCATAATTTTGAAAAAAATGTACAATAACGAAATTAAAGCAAAACAAAAAAAAATATTTTTTTAAAAATTCAAAATACTCTTGCTTAAGCAGGAACGTCGATGGAGAGAAGCTTACTTTAATTTCGAACTCTCTCTTATGTAGTAAGAGAATTTCAGAATTCCTTTGCTGAAACAAACACGTTGATGGAATTCAAACTCTTTTTTATATAACAAGAGAAAACAAGAAATTAAATGAACGAAATTCAGATCATATATACCATGAATATATCACTTAAAAATTAATGTTCTATTATATTTTATTATATTTATTTCTAATACATTGTAAAGTAATATCTAACATATTTAATTTCATTATAAATATTAAATCGAGTTAAAGTAATTTATAGATTATTAAAGAGATAATTTATGAATCAGTTGAAAGAACATGAACCTCACATGCACGTTTAGTTATTTAACTTTTCAAATCTTTAATTCTACTTCGAAAATCAAATGACTCAAAATATATATATATATATACAAGAAAAGGGGTATGGGGATTGGTATTCACGGTATTGATTAGAAATTTAGAATATTTGTTATCGTACTTATTATTTTTTTCAACTACTAAATGTAAATTGAAATTTTATAGTATGTTAATTGTTTTGATTAAGAGATCAACCTTTTAGATGTCACATTATTTAATATCATAATTACTGTACATGTAATTCAATTATGAGTCAGTATTTCATTGATAATAGAGGAAGGAGGTGTTAACAAAGAGATTATTTTTAGACGTATTATATAATAGAGGATAAATTTAAAAAAAAATCATAGTGTAAACGAATAAATTTGACCACTTTCCCAGTTGTTTAATAGAATTTCATCTTGTTATTAAAGAATAATTTTTTTTTACTACATTGTCATTGAGATTGGTGAAGATTGAAGTAAGACCTAACTTTTTTACTTGTCCTAATTTTTGTTGAAATTTATAATGTTATAATTAATAAGAGTTCTTTAAACAAACTATCTAGAAATATAAATTCATCAAAACTAAAATCAAATACAAAATTGAGTGATCTATTTTTGACCTAACTTTCTTACTTGTTCTAATTTTTGTTAATATTTTAATTTTATAATTAATAAGAGTTCTTCAAAACTAAAATCAAAGACAAAATTGAGTGATCTATTTTTGTTTCTATTATTTTCTAAAATGATTTTCCCTAACTAAATATGATTGAGTAGTAATAAAAATTGTATTCAGTCAAAGTCCCTCCATCACTGAGTTACATATACTTCAATGAAAAGAATTTCTCTGCTCATCAAAAATTTTGAGTCGATGCTTGTCATTCTGATTATTTTATCCATAAATTTTTTTTAAATTTTAAAATAGCGCTTTAAAAAAGTAAAGGAGAAGTTTTCATTAAAGTAAAGTAATTTGAAACTTTTTTTTAAATATATCTTCGAAACTATTCAAAATAGATATCATTAACTTTTTATCTTTATCACGTTTTTAGTCAAAATGTCTTCAAATTAAAATATCAAAAATATCCATTCTTATCAAAATTTTTACCTTTAAACTATTCGTAATTGATAATTAAATAATCCTTCATAATATTTTATGTGAAGGATACAATTAAGTTTAATGAGTCCGAGCAAAACAACCTTTTAATAATTTTAACATCAAGGTATATAATGAGTACAAAAATATATCAATAAACTCGGTTCATCTATCGAACCTTATTTTATATTAGCAGGGAAACGAGGGAGATGACACCTCCTCTACAAATTCCCCAACAAAAAAAAAACAAACAAATTACAAAATATGAAATTATAAAAAAATTATGAAGCGAATAAATTAATGGCTATGAATTTTAAATGCCGGTATTCGGATTGTGTGGGTTGATTGGATAATTGGTGTTGGCTGGGAGGGTTGTGGTACTGGTTGGGAAGTCATCATCGAAGTTGATAGTGCCTGGTTGGTTAAGATAGTTGTCACTAGAAATGTTACTAGTGTTGTGTGGATGATTCATTCCGAGAGTATTTTTGACCGCATCAGCTGCGTTATGTGCCATGTTTGCTGCACCAGTTGCAGCTCCTCGAGCCATGTTCACTGCACTTCCTGCTGCTCCTTGAGCCATGTTCTTCACTTGTGTACCCGTCTAAAACAATAATAACATTCACAATGTATTCGATTTTTTTAATTTAATTGAAATGGTGGTTACCTCTTGAAGCAAGTTGGTTGATTGGCTTTGGTTATGAATGTCAGATGGTTGGTTCAATAAGTCTTCCCTTCTCATCTGCAATTTTTTTAATAAAAAATGAGAATTTCGACCAATTATAATTGAACTCAATTTTTATATTATTTTAAATTAAAAAAGTTAATACAGAATAAACTAATTAAATCAATAAATTATTTAATTCGTTCAAATAAAACAAATCAGATAAATTATATTTTTATGATTGAATTTTGATATTAGAAAATAGTATACCATATTTAAAAAAAAAAAAAAGAGTGTAATGAAACCTGAGCTTGGCCGGGGACTTGGATACTGCTATGAAAGTTGTCGCTTCCTTGGTGTGCCATGTTAATTGGTTTTTGTTGCTTCGTTTTGTTTTTCTGTTTAAATTTTATTGTAGATCAAAATGCAAAATATGGATTCGATTATGAAAATTGTTGGATTAGTAGACTTATATAAGCACAATTTGTGATCTCAATTCATGCGTATTCTAACACATGGCACAGTGCTGGCGGATGATTTTGATCGGACAACAACTTCTCTAAGGAAATTTCACATCCTTTTATTTTAGGTAAAATTATTAATTTGATAATAAAAATTATTCACTTGCCAATGTCTAATCCTCGTAATTATCCAATAATTAATTTTCTCATAGCTTACTTTGTAACTTGTCCTTTCTCTAATTCTCTAATTTACGTTTTCTTGGTAACTCTCCGTATACAATTAAAAATTTAAATTTAGTGTCGGCGCTGAATCTCAAACTCGCAAAGAAATAATAATAATAATAATAATAATAATAATAATCTCTAGTATATGGTTGCAGAAGGAAGTTTATTGATCCTTGCGAAATGTTGCAAAGATAAGTTTGACTTCAGAACGGAAGCTAACAACAGCACGGCACGTGTCCTCTACACGCGTCAGGCAACAGGATACGTGTCGACAATATGTCACACTACCAACTCTTTATAAACCATGTACAACCCCTTTGCTTTTCATCACTTGCACATTCTGCTTATAACAATTTTCCCATATATACCATTGCTATTCTGCTTTTTGATTAGTTTTAATTTGCCACTTTTTAACATTGCAACAATGTCTCACGAGCAGAGCTACAAAGCTGGTGAAACCAAGGGTCAAACCCAGGTACGTACTTAATTCTTTTCGTCTTAATTTATGAAGATATATTTTCGTTTTTATTTAATATGATATTATTCGAGTATGTATAGGTGAAGGTTGGTCAAACACTGGAAAGCATGAAAGACAAGGCTCAGGCGGCAAAGGATAAGGCTTCCGACACAGCGCATTCCGCCAAAGGAACGGCGCATGATAAGACAAGTGGAGCAGCTCAGGCAACCCATGATAAGACGAGCGGAGCAGCTCAAGCTACTAAGGATAAGGCGGCTGGAGCGGCTCAGGCAACAAAAGATAAGACAAGTGGAGCAGCTCAGGCTACGAAGGAGAAGGCTAGTGGAGCAGCTCAGGCTACAAAAGAGAAGGCTTCAGAAATGATGGAGTCGGCTAAAGAAACGGCTCAAGCTGGTGAAGAGAAAGCTGGGGGAATCCTCCAGCAGACTGGACAACAAGTGAGGAGCATCGCTCAAGGAGCTGCTGATGCTGTGAAGCACACTTTTGGCATGGCTGATACTGATGAAGATCCTGATGTCACAAAAGACAAAACTTTAAATCACTAAACTAGTGGTTTTTTCAACTTGGATCTCTTATTTTTCTTTCTTGATGGATTCAAGTGTTCATGTATCTTGTGTGCTTAGCAGCTGCTTGTTTGTTCCTTTGAAGTTCCCCCCTTTAGAGGGGATATAATAAAACATTCGCACTTCTTTGTACGTAGTATGAGCTGTGAACCTTCAACATTGAGCCGTGGGGCTTCGATTTTTTAACAATGCTTAGGATAGCAACACTGTTGATACAGGATTTTATTGGAAGGGTAAGCAAATGAAATTCTATTGAAAATTTCAGCCCTTACGTAACTAAGATCTCATTCATAACTAAAACCTCATTCGTGACTAGGCTGTTGAAGTATCAATTATTTTACGTTTTTTGTTCAATTCAACTTTGTGAAGAGTTCCTTTTGTAAGAGGCGTAGATCTCACAATTCCCAACTAATACTTAGCATTACCTCACTTGGGCTCCAATTAACCGAACTTGGGCTCCTGTTGAACTGAGAATGTAATAAATCTAGTACAAGCTTGACACAGAAGATAGATTGCAACAAAACCCCATCTCAAGTTGGATAGTTTAGCAGTTCAATACGCGGTACTTTTCTCTCTTTCGGATATTGCAAGCTTTAATCGAACTTTAACTCAACTCAAATCGTTGGGCCTTGATACCAAATTCCGTTATAAAATTACAGGAAGAAACAAAAAATCTGCAACTCTTAACTTTATCTTTGATGCACTCTTATAACAATACATAGCAGATAAATAATTATACCCTCTTGAGACTCAAAGAATCAGATGATATTTTGATCAAAGTCATCAAGTCACAAAGCTCACTCTCGATTGTATATTGTTTCGGGTCGGTATGTATTGATATCTGAGTCATGACGTCCATTTGGATCTGTTGGCTATTTCCAAGATTGTGCATGTCTGCCATATGTATTACATTCCCACAAAACTGGGTGAATTCTTGTTTGGAACTCACTCGCTCATGCCATCACTTCCTTCGCGATCACTAACGTCGCTGAAAGCTTCGGGTTCCTCAACATCTGGGATGCTTTCTGTTTCCATAGTAACTTCAGAACCCTCCTCCTCACTGTCATCGTTATCTTCATATATGATGGGCTGTATGGCACCATCTTCTTCATCATCACCATCATCAATAGTCTGAGAAAACATAAATATTGTCAAGATTCAGTCCGGAAAAGGGTGAGAGGGAGGACGTAATTGAGGGATTCACATTCCGCATTGCCTTACCCCTGCGTGAAGCAATTCTAAGGAGCTCGATAACTGAAGGGCTTGGTGGAGAGTTGAAAGTCTGGCATCAATAAGCTGCACGAAGACCAACAAAGTAGCTTTTAAATACATTCTACCAGTTGCTATGGGTGCTCTATCAACATACCGAAGAGTACTACCCTAACCTGATATAAAGAGTTGAGTGCAAGCAAAGAGGATTCTTGGGACATTATTCCACTAGCGTGTTGGAGAAGCAAACTTCGCAGCCAAGGAAGGGCACAAGCCAATACAGCACCCCTGTCATGAAATAGTAGCATAATGAATATTAACTCTGACCAATCTATGACAAAAGGAACTTGCGAGAAGGCAACTGCACATTGCAAATGTGGATGGCAGAAAGGTCATCAGCAATGGACAATTAAATGACAGTTTAACCCACATAATGAGTCTTATAGTTAGTATTCACCCCTTAGGTGCAATCTAACTTGATATTCTTAAGGCCGTCAAGTGAATTTTAGACAAAATACCATGAAAGGAACATCCAGGTTACGAAATTCACAGATCTCCTTTACCTTGACTGGATAATTGATAAGAGTGACTGTAAAAGCTTGAGAACATCTGAAGGATTTAAAAGAGAGACTGAATTTGCAATGACCTGGAGTGTCAAGATACATTCCACTGATTAGGAAATAAAACATCAAGCAGATGCTAGAACCCTGAAAATAATTCAGTTGAAATATAACCTTCTCATCCTGTCTGTATAAGCAATCTATCAAAAGTGCTCGATCATCAGCGTGAAGTGCTTGCTTCAGCAGAACATGAACTGAATCAGCACTTGGAGGCTTCTTTTGAAGAGCAAATTCTAGATTCTTGTTGCTTTTATCTTCACTGTTGTCTTCCAAATGGAGCATCGCGAGTTTCTCGCCCATGGTTGGCTCGCTAAAATCATCAATCTGAACTCCGTCAATAGGTTCACCATTACCTACACATCATCAGACAAAAAGGTTATTCTCCATAAGGTAGTGAATGCTTTTCAAGTATCTAATATCAAATGACCCCTTGTCGTAATGCTCAATACACAGAAACATCATATAAAGATGACACACCCCTTCCAAAAAAGATAACAGGTTCTCTACTGAACACCAACTGACCAACAGACTGATCAGGCACCAAACAACTCCTGGGATCTATTCTACTGGAAGCAGTCTGCTTGTAAATTATAGCCCATAACACAACGTTCATCTAGGAAGCTCTAAAATGTCAAGACAACCAAGATAATAATTATATCTAATTGCAAGAGTAGGATTGACGATCAAGTTTTCTGTAAAGGGACATCAAGTAAATGGACTGGTACAGATTCTCTATACACTGAATTTTACTTTATTCTTAGTCATTCTCCAATACATAAAGATTCGCCGTCTGTGGTGGAGAACTGGAGATCACTAAAAAGATGGAGAGCCACCAAAAAATACATATGTTGAAACTCAATTCGAGCAATGCAAAAAACCATGCAACATATTATACCATTATCTGTAATAGTCGCTTCACCAGTAACATCCAGATCAGATGCTGGTCGTTTGTTTGTCACTTTGCTTCTCTGGATTAAGTTAGCACCTTCAACTTCCATATCTCCACCTGAAACAGAGCGAGGAGGCATTAGAAGGATTATAAGGACAACTCTTTTCCTGAAACTGTTCACATCATAAATTAAAAATGTCAATTTTATCATTCACATGATGTATCAGTGATACATGAGATTTTTGAGAATCTTTGTTAAAACTAATAGAGTGATGGCCTCATTTGCAAGAAAGTAGGCAACTTAACAAATGCTTTAAAGCTCTCACAGTAGCTATTAGACCATCTAAAACATCAAGACAGAATTCAAGTTCAAAAAAATGTAGCTGCGCTTCTTGGCCAGTCAAGTTCAAGGAAACAGCAATACATAAACTGCTATAAAAAACACCTTTTTTGGCATGGCCGTTTTCTTGAACTGAAGCAACCGCTTTTTCGGTCTGGTCCCCTGCTGCTATGACGATATCCTCCCCTGGATTTGAAATGCCTACTGATGTAAACTCTGGGGATTCAACAGAACCATAAGCAATCAAGGCTCTTAAATGTGCATCTCTATCTAAAGCATGCAATCTTGCAGCGATTACGGGCAAAAGATTCTTTCTAGCTTTTCCATCTGTTTCCCCTTTGCTGGGTTTTACTGAGATCTTAATTGGCTTTGCAGCTTCATCAGTAACGGACTCAAAGTTCCAAACATAACAAACACCTTTCTCTGATGTTGCAAGGACAACCATACCATCTTCTCCCTTGCACTTATTCCTGCATTCAACCATTACAGGAGGATGTTTCATGGAAACAACATGCCCATAATCTGCAGCCCTATTCCCAAAATCAAGTTTCCACACTTGAAGTTGTTTCTCGCCAAACCCCACAGTAATAGCAAATTGAGCATCATTAGATAGCCAAATATGTTGTGCAGTAGCCTGTTAAAGAAGCTTTTTATATTAATGAATCTTTGTAGACTTCAAATAACATTACATAATGAAGAGAAACTTAAGACGGCTTACTGAATCAGGAGAAAACTTCAGCAACTCTTTCCCGCTTTCTGGACTTAGAAATCGCAACTTATCACTGGCCACAGCTATAATTTTCTGGTCTTCACAGTGAGAACAAGGAAGTCAGATAAGTACTTAAAGTAAAAAATGCAATTTAAGACATAAGTTGGATACAAACCAGTTGAATGAGCTACTGAAGAAATGGACTTCTTTGACACTTTGAACTCTTTGTTGACTTCTCCAGTTTCGGAGTTCATCTCAAGTACTAAACCATTCGCAGCAACAGCATTAACCCTGCGACCTTTGCCCACAAAAAACAGACCAGCAGCTCCGCTGCATTCAAAAGCAAGATATTTCTCATTTACACTTTTTGATGTTTTTGGTGAGAACAAAGGCATCCATCACTAAGGGGCTTTCATTACTGTCTATGTGTTCTTAGCAAGTACGTCTCCATCCAACATAAGAGCAAAAGTACCTTCTGTCAAAAAAAAAACATACCTAGGAAGGGCTCCATCTTTTCTCCACCTTACCAATTTAGCAGAAATGTCAACTGTTAAAACAGTTCCATCATCTGAGGCAAGAGCTACTAATAGACATTGTTCTTTTCTGTGCTAAAAATTCAAAACAAAAAGATACAACATAGTTGTGAGACTAAAATAGCCGCTAAAATTTCAAAACAAAATGATAATCGTGAGATTAAAAATAGCCTATTAACGTTGACACTACTATCAAAAGTGTTACAGTGAAACAATAGAGGTGGAGCGGTCAGATCTTGTACAAAAAACTTTGACTGATTTTTAATTTTTTTTTTGATGAAGAAAAACTTTGGCTGATTTTTTACCACTAAATGATTGCAACAATCAAAGCTGCTTTTTTCAATATTCTGTCATACCTTCTTTCCAATAATACAGCATGCCATGTAAGAGAAACTGTCTCCAGAATTCTCTGGTTTCCACTGACCAAATAAGCTTCCACTACTTGTGTTCCAAACCTGAATCATGCAACAATTAGTCACCAAGTAAGTAATAAGTAAAGCAAAAGAATACAAACACAATGTAATAGCAACGCAGAGTGGTAACAATTATGGAAAACAAATTGCTGGCATAGCAACAAGCAACTAACAAGTAATTCTTCTCACCAACTTGACTCCGTAACTCTTGAATAGGAGTATGACATAATGGAAACCAAGAAGTACAGAAATTGAATAATGGAATCATACGTGCACCTTATCTAATCTTGATAATGGTTGAACTTCTTTACTTCACTTTTCAAAGCTAATTTACATTTTAAGACCATTTCACTTAAAGAAGAACTTGCAATACACATTAGCTTTCAAAATAAAAGTCAGGTTTTGAGGCTCCAATGATAGGAT